CAGTAAATCAAGCAGTCATCTATAGGTCTTACATCCTTCCCCAATCATTGGGAACTTTATTGGACCTAAGGATGCATGTGTAGTCCACTCCCAAAACCATCATTCAACAGAATAGCAAAGCTATGCAGCTACATTATTTAAATATCCAATGGATGAACCAAATATAATCCTTTATCTCTTGGATCCACCCAAGAAAGATCTTCCCATCAAGACCAATCAGGGCTTCTGGTTGGGAAAACTAATTCCAGTTCCCCACCCTCCATGGAAATCCTGTTCACCTTCTGTTCTCCCTTTCACAAAAGTGAATGGAATAATTAAATTGGGAGGCGGGATTATTGCATATCCCCATGAAGCAGGTGAAATGAGAAATAAGTAATGTTAACTGAAAACACTTCTAAAACATTAACTCTTAATTAATATTTCTTAGGAATATATTGAGTGGTTGTCATCTTGACCATACAACAAAGTACAATCACATCTGAAATCTACAGAACAGTGATACTTTTATTGGGACAACCAAAAATCCATCCTGCAAGCTCCACTGGCTTCTTCATCCAGCAAAGGTGTTAAAAATGATACAGGAGAAAGAAGAAAAATGACAATGTTAAGAGTCACAGGCTTACAGTCTATCAAGATGCTGTTTTTGCTGTTCTCAGTTAAGATGGTACAGAGGGATATTCACATAGGCAGAGACCACTCTTTCCTTTGGGCCCTGTGGGCTCTGGAAAACAAAAAGTTGTAAACTCCAGGAAATAAAATTTAAACTCCATTAGCAACACAAAAAGTATTTCTTAATTTATTGATATTTAACAATGAATTAATATCAATGTGGGTGCCTGCAAATTAGTATTGCAAGCATTCAATACCATTTCCTCATCATCTTTTTGAACAAAAGGATGTACAATGGTCCCTCCACATTCGCTAGGGTTAGGGGTCAAGGACCTTTGTGGATGTGGACAAATCACAAATAAAAAAACACTATTCTTTTTATCTAAGAGAACATCTCTCTAGGAATCTCCAGGTCCTCCAGTGCAAATCTATGGTCAACATCTGCCAGAAGTTGATCATAGAATCATGCTGGAGGACCTACAAATGCTTAGAGACATGTTTTCTCTAGGAACTTCTAGGTTCTCCAGCACAACTCTATGGTCAACATCTAGCAGAATTGCGCTGGAGGACTTAAGAGATTCCTTGAGAGAACATATTAATCAAAACCGCAAATAATCAAATCCACAAAAGTCAAAGCCGCAAATGTGGAGGGCCAACTGTAGTCATTATAAGCTGCTCAGAACCTTTGGAGTGTTACTGAACAATCCCAGCAAGTGGTTTCAGCCACCCTTTTTTCCCTCTACAAGTTATTTTTAGTTGGTAAATAAATAAAAATGCTGTCCTTGAAAGTTCAAGAGGAGAACCGGATTCCCTGATTCAGCAGCTGAGAGTACGTGCAATTTGGTGACTTGTTTACTTTATGGGCTTATAGGCTCCCTTCAGATTGCAGCGATAATTATCACTTCCCTTGCCTGTAGGTGTTTTCATGAGGGCAAGTGCATTCTGGACTGTCTCATGCTCATATTTTGTGTGTGAAGAACGTACAAGGGCCTCAGAAGAGCAAGTTCATGAATCTCAGCCAAAGGACTGGCTTGTTAATCCCACCAAAAAAGGAGAGCTCTACAATTAATTGCTACATTTGGTTGGAGCAATGTCTGTCAAAAGGACCTGGACTGTTGGTTTGTTTTTTTTAATTTAGTTACTATTATTTAGTTACTGCATTTCCTGCTTTTGTATATTGGCCTCAAGCAAAATAAAGATACAACAAAGCTGAGCTTCCCAAGACTAAAAAGGATGAGCAGTTTCCTGTCTGTGGAACAGATCAAAAAATTAGCTGGCAGTAAAATTACAAAGAATGAACATGAAGGCAAACCAAAATCAGTGTTCTCTAAAACAGAAATGGAGAATGGATCTTCATTTCACTTAATAATTTTAGCAGGTTGTTTTGTTTTGTTTTCTTATTTCTCCTGGTTTTCAAAACCAAATCTACAGGCTACCCTAATATACCTGCCTACCTGGGAATAAGCCTGGCTGTACTCAGTGGGCCTTTAATGTTGGTGTAAAAGAGGGAATCTCAACAGGTGTTGCTTGCTACCTGGTTGCATGACAAGCAACATCTGCTGAAATTCCCTCTTCTACACAATCATTAAAGGTACAGGAGCCCTCTCCAGTTTTCACTCTAGCAAACCATGTATAAACATGTCTAGCATCTAATATGCACTGCAGAAATCATGCAGTTTGACACTGCTTTAACTGTCATGGCTCAATGTTATATAATTCTGGGATTTGTAGTTTTATGGGGAATTTTGCCTTCTCTGTCAGAGAGCCCTGGTGCCAAAACAAACTACAAATGCCAGGAAATCCATAGCACTGAGACATGGCAGTGACAAACTGCGTGATTTCTGCAGTTAATGGTTAGACCTAGGATTGCATTGCAAAGGACACTAATAAGTAGTGTTTTCCTTGTGAATTCAGGTTTTTAACAGACTAACAGCTGTGTGACAGGCAAAACTTGTACAGTTAACACTCATGTATAATATGTGGGCAACTTCTGAGATAGGGGCCAGTTTCCTCTTCCCTAGAACCTATTGTGGACTGCATAATGCAAAATAACAAATTTTGGTAGCGCAGCACCAGTACCCCAAAAGGGATTTTTTTTAAAAAAATGAAGGTATGGAGGTTGTGTGCTCCTTGTTTTTACAGCTGATTCAGACTTATGAGAGGCTTTGATGAATGCCACTCTGCATTAAAACAAGTATACATTTCCTCCATGCCTTGTTTTCCAAAGACATCAGATATATATATATATATATATATATTAAACTGGCATGCTTCTGGTTTTACTCACATTTAAATTCCCATACACATGCAGTTGTACTTTCTTGACCATGATATAATTGTCTGTATTCAGTTCAGAGTTGCATAAATAGGAATAACTTGTTGCACATCTGGAGACAGTGCATAGCCTTCAATATACAGGGGGTGCAGAAACAGCAAACACATTTGTAGATACTCAGTTGGTTAC